AATCACTAAATCGAACAAAATCTTCGTCCTCAGTCGCTTGTAAACAACTCTGCTAACTCCGAATGTAGAATAACACAGGCCGAGAGCACCCTCTTGCGGTTTAGTGTGAAAATAACGTGATATGATACAATGTGTTCATTTCCACACATAAGTCGCTCTGGAGTGTAAGTCGCACCAAACTATGAAAAAAACTGAGACTTATAGTTCAGAAAATACGGTAATCAAAATGGAAATGATTGAGCTCATTTTATTTATCATGTGATTTATATCTTGCTATACAACTGCGTATCAGAGCCATTATATATAGTTAATTTCTGCCAAAAAAAATCATAAATTTTGAGATTAATCCCAGACATTTTTACAAAAATAACAAACATTTTCAGAGTTCTGAGTCGAAAATTTTTGACCTTTGAAACTTGGGTAAGTTCAGAATTTTCTGGCTTAAATTTACTTTGTTTTTTCTATCTTTAATGGCCCTGACATGCCATTATTGTAACAGGTTTAATTGAGATTATTGCAAATTTGACTAACTTCACCTGCAGATGGCAGTATTTCTTCTGCTTCGCCACTATAGTGAGTATCTCACTAATTTTAAAAACAGCCTACTTTGAGTGTTCTTCCTACAGTAATCTCCATATCATTGTTGGCACTAAAAACGATGCCTTCATGTCACATTTTTGAGTTTTTGACTGGTTCGGTACAGATGAGGGCTGACCAAGCCGCAAATGTTCCATCTCTGGTCAACAGCTGAATTGCAACAGCATCTCTAACAGAGCGCTTCCAAGATTGTTTGACGCTGAATATCAACATTTCTCTCCCCTTCACAGGAGAACGGAACCAGTGCAAAGAAGGAGGAGCGAACGCCCTCAACACGTTCTCCTAGCAAAGAGACGCCGACTTTGGTCAATGGGGTCTCATAAGGAGAGGAGCCCCCACTCCCTCACAAACCCAAGTCTCAAGCAAGACTCCATGGCAAACTGTGTCCCTGCTTGCATTAACTTAAACCTTAAGAGATGAAAAGTACCTGACAAAATACCTGAGTTCATACTATGAGATGGAAAAAGTATAAAAAACAAAAAAAACAAAAAAAAGAAAACCGACAAACGCATCTACTTAAAACCACACGTTAACGGTGTATGCTATCCTATCTATCAGTACTTAGTGCTTATTTAAAAACTCAACTCGCTTGCCAAAAGAGAGCTGATGCATATTTCTCAAGATACTGAAAACACAAACAGGACAAGACTTTATTATTTTTTTTAACGGTTGACTTTCTTTGTGTCCTTTTTGTTTAATGTTAATTCTGTTCATTGTTTATCACTGGTTTGGACTGGGCCGTTGCTCTCTCCACCAAAAAAATTGGACGTGTCTCGGTGTTAACAGAACCGTCGAGAGATGTGAACCGCAGGCGTGCGAGCAGACAGTCCTGTAGTTCATGCGAAGCACTGTTCACGCAGAGCAAAGATGGACAGATCGGAATATTGATAGACATTGTGCCTTGAATTTGGAAAAAAAGAAATAAAAACTTAAGTTTTTCCATAAAGTTTGGTTTTGTTTCCTGAGAAGAGGTAACAAGAGGGGGAAGTTCTTCTAGTTGTTTTTATTTAAAATTTGGTTTGACGGATGGAACAGAAGGGGAGTGATCTAGGATCAGAAAATGGCTGACCAGTGTAAAAGAGTGGCAGGGGGTAAACCAAATCTGGTGCCAAATACTAAATCCTAACAGCACTCGTCCTCATTCCGTGTATAATGGGGGCGGGAGGCAGAGCGTGCAGACCCGTTAGTGCGCGCGAGTGAAGGGATTTGGCAACGATAAAACTAAACCACGAGGGTTGACATAACAAAGCAAAGTGCTGAGGGGATGTTGTGTTCCCCCTCTTGCCTATAGATCTTTCAATGGTCCAGGGTTCAGTCCAGACAGGCACACTTGAACTGTAGATTTAAATTTACAAAGAAAACTACACAGTGCCTCTTTCTCTGTGTCAGAGGGGCAGCGGCAACTTCAGCCTCTGCTGATTTCAACCACTGCAGTGAACGGCTCCGGAAGCACTGGGGGGCTTCTATTAGGAGGGCGTGGAGGGCCGAGAGACTGCAGACTGTGGGACAGGGACGAGAGCCACAAGGGACACAGTTACACAGACACACACAGAGCACCAGGGGGCGCACAGATCAATGCAGTTTGCAGGAGAAAAAAGAAGAAAGATGTCTGTCCTGTTGAGGGCAGTGGATTTGGGTTGAAGGGACTGGAAACCTCAGTGGCTCTCTGCTCATGTTGTTACTGTTGTCTTGGTTACAGCTCTCCGTTCTTACTTTTTTTTGTTGCTATTTCCACATCTTTAGAAAAATCTGAAATAAAACATTGAAGTGAAATCAACCTCTCCTGTGGAAATGAGCTCTGATTTCTTTGTCTTGTGAGTTTGCAGTCTATTTTTCTACCTTGCATGGCATTTAGTTACTGAGTGGTGCCTGTCCAGTGCATGAGGAAAGGGTAATTTTTTTTTTTTTTTTCCTTTTTTTTTTAAGTCATTGTTTAATGAGCTAGAATTGCTGCTAATCTACCCACTGAATGTCCAACTAATGTAGAAACTCTGCCTTGGGAGGAGAACTTTATTTGTGACTGAATCAACTTTTTTTTTCTACCCTTGGGTCCATCTTTGATTCTTATTCAGTAGATGCTAAGTCAGGGAAAGAACTCGTCCCTTTGCTCATGACTCGCCAAGTATTACAAACCCAAGGGCATCCTGGTGCATGTCAAGCAAGCATTCTCATGACCAAAGGTTTGGAGAGACACCTGACAGGGTATGCAGTTGGTTGATTTGAGACCACCCCTTCCCTCCCTCCCTCCATGCTGCTGTTGTAGATTTCTGCCCAACCATTTTGTTTTTAGAGAAAGAACGAGCATTCAAGTGTTTGGACCTTGTTTCAGTTGCATGTATGAGTGGATGTGTATTTGCCTTCTTACCTCATTCTGTTGACTGCTGTATTCGCTAATGTATCTGTAATCCCCACGTTGTGTTGACAGAGTGCCTGCTGTGTGTGTTTGTGGATGCTAGGTGTACTGTTGACTCCTCACTGTCAGATTTATGTCTCTGGTTTTCTCACTCATGTTCTGATGGCAATAAAGGACTTTTCATTGTTTGATATATCTTTTTTGCAGCAGGTTATTGTTAGCATATTTATATTTCAAACAAAAAGTTGCATACACTGACTAAAAAGACACCAAGCTTCTTTTTTGGTTTTTCTTTTTTGTCACTTGCTGAAATTAAACCAGACCAACATTCTCTCTTTTGAGATTAATTAAAATGACCAAAATTATTTCGATTTGCTAATTTCTATAATAATGAAAATATGGCAGATGAATTTCTCATCAAAATCAGAGGTTCACATACAGAATGATTTAAACAAAAGAAAGCCCAGATGACTATGTCCTGGCTTTGGAAACTTCTGATAGATTAAGCAACACATTTGAGTTAATGGGAGGCTGTATTTTAAGGCCACACCTCAAATGCACTCCTTTATCGTTTGAAACGATGGGAAGGTCAAAAGAAATCAGCCAAGGTATTGAAAAGAGAATTCTGGAGTTGCACAAGTCTGGTTCATCTTTGGGATCAATTTCCTTGAGGGTGCCGCATACATCTACTTTGGTCTGAAATGTACAAATTGACCCCCAGAACAATAGCTGAACAATAGCTGGATTATCTGGTGCTGTTGTAATTTTAATGCTTGGCTTCTTTTTTTTTTTCATTTTCTGATTTTATATCATCTAACTTCTGTGTTATTTAAAATTTCAATGTATATTATTTGCCTTTATTTGTATATACTGCTGCCTTCTACATTGAGTTTACAATTGTCATATAAATGTATTCCTTAAATAAATCTAACTGAATTGAAAGGTTATGTAATTCTAAGGAAGCAAATTAGGGCTGTCAAAAAAGGTCACAATTCAGATTTTTTTTTTTTTCAGAATTCTGACTTTTCAAAAAAAAAATTTAAATTTTGATATTTGAGACAGAATTTTGTGAATAAAGACAGAAGAGTCAAAATTCAAGATTAGGGTCACTGAAAAAAAATTATGTTTACTTTAATCTCAAAATCATAACTTTCTTTTTCTGAGAATTCAGATTTTAATCTTAAAAGTCAATTTATGAATTTAGAGTGTGATTTTTTTTTCCAGTTGCAGTAATTCTTTTCCTTAGAATATAAAGCAGTTTTTAGACAGAAACTTCTAATTTCCGTTTCAAATAGTTCATTACGGAGCCCCCTAGGAGACATGGGGAAACTTTTTTTCTTTTGCGTTCCCTCGCAGAACCTTGCCAAAGCCGTGTGCTGCTGTCACATCAATAATTACTTATTTCATTCATACGGCTATTATGGAGCCTCAATGAAAACGTGTTTATTATTAACTCTTTGGTGCAAAACACTGACTGAAAATTGATTTATTTACTGCATGTTTAAGATGAAAACGCACTAAAAGCAGCACTTTAAACCATTCAGACAACCAGCTCAACAGAGACAATCAAAACTATCATATGACTGATTACTCCGCGATAATAACAGAAATAGTCCAAATTAGGATGTATTTTTATTTATTTACTACTTACGGAACGTTTCTGTTTATATCACAAGTTTTTGGTTCCTTTCTATCCTAAAGAAAATATAGTATATACAACTTGCCGCATAACTGATCAGCGCAGTTTTGGGAGGGAAAGCAAAAGAAAAAAAATTCCCATGTCCTTTAAGGGGCTCCGTAGAATTCTGACCTTTTCCCTCGGATTTCTGAGATTTTTTAAAAATTTATTATTATTTTAACCACTTTTCTGAGATTTTTTTTTCAGTGGCTCTAATCCTCTTCCGTAGGAAACGTTTTACGTAACCTGCAACTGGAATCTAAGACCAACATTTTTTCGACTCCAGTTTGCTTTAGCCAATCACATTCCGTAGAACTTGATGGGCATCTGTGTCGTCCAATCAGATTCCCAGCTCGCGCACACCGCCGTCCTCATCTTTGATGTGTATATGATTGGAGTTTCTTTCGGTATTGCTGTTGCCAAACGGTAAGTAGGATAGTCTTTTTTTTAAAGTTTTTGGTTGTTTTACGTCAATTTTTGCTCGTTTATATTTTGCTTATGCATCACAGGGCTACCCAAAACCCAGGTTTCGTTGATATCGACTGTAAATGTTGTGTATTTCAGTAGCTAATGTTAGTGTAACACTACGATGTGAGGCTAACATTAGCAAACCGGCTAGTAGCTCTATAAACAAGAAGTCCAAACAAGTAAAAAAATTTTTGGCTTCCTGTTTAAAGTTGCTCCTATATTTAATAAGGTATTCACAGACTAACACTTTATTTTGATTACAAATGTCTGAGTTAAATTTGAGTCAAACTTTGTTTCCCTTCACCCTAACTTGAAGCTTTTTCCCTTTGATAATGGCGTTGTAGTTTCGCCATTAGAATTCGGCTTTCTGCCCATCAACCCCTGTTTTAATTTCTCTTCTCCCTCCCCTTTTGTCCCCTTAGGATCGTACACTGCAGCAATCATGGTGAAGATATTCATCGGTAACCTCTCTCCAGAAACGACGAGAGAGGACATTGAAGAGCTCTTTGTCAAGTACGGCATAGTAACGGAATGTGCAAAGTACAAAAACTATGCGTTCGTCCACATGGACGACCGCAAGTCAGCCACCAAAGCTATCCGTGAGCTCCATCTGCACAAGCTGAACGGCAGGGCCATCAATGTGGAGCCCAGCAGAGGGAAGAACCAGGGTCCTGTCAAACTCCACATTGCCAACGTTGAAAAAGGCTTTGATAAAGAGCTGCGGGACCTGTTTGAGGAGTACGGCACAGTCATGGAGTGCTCCATTATCAAGAACTTTGCTTTTGTTCATATGCCTCATTATGATGAGGCCATGGATGCCCTGGAGGGCCTCGATAACTTGGAGTTTCAGGGTGAGTGTGGCTATATTGTGCAGATGCTTCCCAATAAGTTTGAATATAGCAGAAAAGTGGATTTATTTCAGAAGTTCAGTTCTGAAATAAACTGAACCTTGAATATTTATAAGTATTCATTACATACTCACTTTGATATTTTCAAGGGTAGTATTATGTAAAATCTACTTTTTTCAGCTTTATATCATGTTATAATCATATTACCTCAACAGCAGCATGCCTGGACTGTGGCTTTGATCCTTTCATGCATGTTTGAGAAATTTCCCTTGCCAACTATTCAACTATTCAACTGTCCTCGGCCTGTGGGGACCGAGCGCCGCCTTCGAGGATGAAGTTCCTCCTTATAGCTGCAGATTCCAATATTCCACCTCACAAAGTAGCTCTCCTCACCACTCCCCCACTCAACTCCTTCAGACTAGCCAGCAGCAATAAGCAAACAACTGGTGGAGCTGCACATCTGCTGAGCTCATTATACAAACTACTTCTCAGTGAAAGTCTGATAAACATGTTGTTGAAGGGTTAATAGAGAAGCCATCTTGCGATGACTTCCTGTAGGCAGAGTTTCAGAAAGAGCAGGAGTTTTTAAAGAGACACGGGCCCAATTTCAAGGTGCTAAATTACAAAATCAAAAGTCTTTTAAGTAACTATATCATTTGATATACAACTGAATGTGATATAGTTACTTGATTATGCTGTAAATTGGTACTGTGTGCCTGGAAACACATAATACTGCTCCTTTAAGCTTTTAACAGTTGAGTTTTTTTTTCTTTCTTTTTTTTTCCCCTCCACCAATACTATGACTCAGTTTATGAAAACCCAAAATTCTGTTCCTCAGAACTTTAGAATTTTGCATAAGACCAATAAAATGGAATTTTAAAGCAGAAATATTTTGCTATGGCCTACCAATGGACAACTTTGCAGCAGTAATTTATTGAAATGCACCAGTTGTCCATATTGAAAGATTTAAAGGGTCGTCCTGAAGACTTTTAGATCAAACATATACCCTCTTTCTTTTCTGTCTCTTAGGAAAGCGTATTCATGTTCAGGTATCAAAAAGCAGACCCAGAGGGGGTCCTGAGGAGGAGGAGGAATATCCACCCCCACCAGCTGGAGGAGGCTACTATCCTCCATATTACCCTATGCCAAGGCCTGAGCCCCCCTACAGAGGGCGCCTTTCTGCTTATCCTCCTCCTCCACCTCCCCCTCCACCCATACCGCCACCTCCTCCCATGAGACGAGCAGCATACCCCGACCGTGGTTACAGTGACAGAGCGCCCTACGGGTCGGTGGATTACTATGAGAAGTACAGGGCCCGTCCTTTTACCGCGGCGGCGAGCTACGACGATAGGCGTGCCATACCTCCTCCTCCGCCTCCTTCATCGACTCTGGTTAGAGAGCGCCTCGGGGTGGCGCCGTCAGTCGACCCATATGAGCGCCGTGCCCTCCCGACCCCTGCTGCATATGCCGCAAGGGACCGGAGTCCAATCAGGAGAATCCCCCCTCTACCTGCTCCGGCGGCTGGGAATGGGTATTCCTATGAGCGCTCTCGACTCTCGCCGATGTCCAGGGCTCCATTGTACGCGCCTCCCCGTACCAGGGACCCCTATGCAGGGAGAGTGCCTCCCCCACCGCCACCTCGCTACGCAGGCTATTAGAGGGCCGTAGAGTTACGCAAGGTGAGAACTGAGACAATGTTTCCTGTTTGGCTATTGGATGTTTCAGGAGAAAAATACATCAGACTTATATTCACAAATTGAGGTAGTGTCTCATCTTGTATCGGTACCATCAACTAGGGCTGGACGATAGTTCTGAAAAACTTGTCACCATATAAGTGTTTCCTAGGAGAAACACTTACATGTGTAGTTTATTGATAATTATTGATTCTTTTTTTTTTCTTTAGATATCTGTAATTCTTCCAAACTGCTAGTGGGACTTTTCATGTTCTCTCTCCACACCGTTTATTTTTAAGCAGTTGTGAGGCACAGTGATGAAACATGAAACTGTTGCTGCACAAGTTACCTCACAAGGTGGTGGGAGGTAACCAAAGGGTTAGTTAGTTGAAGCCACCAACCTGTGAGAGGTTGAGCAGCTAAAGTCTTTCCTTTGCCTACATCCTCCAGAATGCTGTGCAGATCTCGGTCGGAGTTCAAAGAATATTATATAAATTGCGTATTGACTATGTATCAATACAATGTATTAGCCATCAATATTGATCACATGACTATTGCGATATATAATATTGATTTATTGTCCAGCCCTACTACCAACTAAAGCTATAAATTCCTGTTACTCTTCAGCCATTAAATACACAACCAAAAACAACATTCAAAAACAAAGCGTACAGGTTGCTTCTTGAGGCTTGAAATATTAGAACAATACAAAAAAGTTTTGCGCGACTTATTCTCAGAATGCGCTTTGACATGTGTCGTGTGCTCTCTCTCCAGGTTTTTAGAATATGACGAGATCGTCGTCTGCTGACGCACGTGGCGCTATACACCCAGCACGTCGTTGCGTTCGCCTGAGGCTTACAGGAAGATATTGCGGACGCCCTCGTATTTAAAAAAATACAACTCCATCTCTGCGTTTCTTTTGCCTGAGCTGTTCATAAACTTTTGTGTTCCTCAAATTTTCTTCGATATTCTGAAAGTGTTCAGTAGAACAGCTTTTGAGAGTGTATGGCGTGTGACGCATTAATATATAGTTTATGACCGAAAACCATTCTCTGTTCCAAACTTTTATAATAGTCTCTGGGAAAACTTGGTATATTTTCATAACAAGGGATTGCCTTTACATTACAATCTGTAGTGTTTACATGGCAAAACTAGTTTTACTTTTAGCTTATTGGTTGATTTAGAAAATGTTCAGTAATTTAAAATCAGTTAAGGAGAGCTTGAGTATAATACAGAGTGTAGACGGTTGTTCAAAAATCGTAAAAAGCTGCGACACTTGTTGAAACGACCTCAAAAAATTCAATGTGATTTACTTTTTTTCTTTGTTAAATTTTCTTGCGGAAATATAATCCGTAGGCCCGTTCTGTGTGAACTGTATTTACTTTTCAGGTTGGTTTTTATTTCAAGGCTTTTAATAAACAAATGAAAACAAAGTCAGTATTTAACTGTGAAATTATTCCTGGTTGTGGTTGGTAGGCAGATGAAACTAGGTGTGGCACTGCTTTCATTTTTATTCTTTATGCTCAGCTTGCTATTTGACATTTTTTCCCAGTGCTCCACATTTTGTAAGCCTCAATCAAAAATTAGGAAAAAGTTTGAAATTGTCCGGTTTTGCTGAACTAATTAGTGCAACATGTAATATGAGGATGGAGAAGTTTCTCAACCATTTGCTTGGATTCAAAAGCGTATATCAAGTCTGGTTTATCTCGGTCGAACCTCTCTTAGCGCACCGGTTGCAGCATCCAACTCTTCCCACTTTACCTGCTAAGCATTGAATCATTTTAGGGGTGGTCTTCTAATCTACCATTACGACTAATTGCTGGATCCACTGAGTTCTCTTTCCATTTCATTAAATGCCTCCTGACCACCAGTCCCCCTCTCCCATTACTCTCTTTGAACCTGAACATCTCGTAACTCCATAATCAGATGGCTTGCACCTTTGGTATTCTTGGTGTCTGTGCTCTTTGTAGGTGCTTAAACCATCTACAGGAGAAGCTAGCCATGGGTAAGTCATCCCTGATGCCAAGCAGGAGGACTCAGGTAAATGTCTCTCAAAACTGTTCTCTGTAATGATTATATACTGCAGGTCAAATATTTGAAAGACACTTATTTTAGTCCACTGTCATGCACCAGGTTATGTCTCCATGTGTGCGGTTAACAATCGTCGCTGTTGCCAAGAGTGACGTCAGTTAAAGTGTATGTTCAAAATTGGAATGTCAGGCTTTTTAAAAATTTGCCATTGTCCAGAAAACTCCCATCTGTGTCCCAGGAAAGTCCTGAGGAAGAAGATGGATTGTGCTGTTGGGAGTCCAGCTTTGCCTCCAGTGGCTCTTGGTACTTTTTCTGTTATTGATGTATGATGAACCAGGTGATAAATGGATTAGGGCCTCTTTGGCAGTAGAGTCCTGAGCCAAAAATCCAAGCTGTCTGTGTCTCAACCCTTGGTGGTCACGAGATTTTGATCTTGAGTCATCAAATGGCTTCCACCAAAGGGTAGATGGTCTCTCTGAGGAGAGGACTCTTGTAAAAACGACTCTGTATTTACAAGATTCAGATGATGTGGCGTGGGTATCTGCATGTACTACTGAGAGGGAAGACCCTTAGGTAGAAAACACTTTAGGTACTTTCTGTTCTTTTTGGAGAACTCCTAGCATGACCTAGCATAAGAGGGAAGTCAGAGTTTCCTTCCTGGGCCTTTTAATCTTTTGATCCAGTTTCTGATAAACAGACGATGATGGATGAATTGATATTTTGTCTATAAATATCAGGCATTTGTAATCCCCTCCTGATCCCCAGCAACAATCTCTGGCTTTAACATGTAAACAGCTTTTATTTTGGAGGTTGTGGCTTTGGCAATCTTTTTAACTCCAACTAACTTTGTATCTTTTAGTTTAGTGTTTTCCTAGAGGAGAATGACACAACACCTGTTTTAATATTTTTGCACTGCTTAAGCGTTTTAAAATTTCAGATTCATATGTGGTCAGGTACTTTGCTCTATCGCTGAATTGTTATTTATACAAACTGGAGCCCTCAGGTTGTCCAACGTGAATCTGGAGGAGAGTTGCTCTTTTCTGATGGTTGCACATCGACTTCAGAAGAAGATTCATATAAGAATTGAAACAGAAACTTGAAGTTGCTTTAATTATTTGGCTTGTGCTTACTTTCAAATGTTTGGCCTGTAGTGTACATGCATACACACACAAGAAAAACCCTGTACAATTCTCTTTGTAATTTAAATTTGGAAGTTGATTCAACCTTCTGTGTATTTTTCCCACAGATTTGTCTCTTTACAGATTGAAAAAATGGTTCCAAGATAACTGACAGTCAAAGAAAATATGAGATTGGTCAATATTCTGAGGTAAGGTATCTGGAGTTGGAATATTTCATCTTAAGTTGTGGCCTAAAGATTCAGCAGTGACAGTAACTTATTTTATATTTATTTGTATTAAACTGAGAAGGAACATTTTAGTTCTTGATAGCTGTTACTAGCTGTTACAACCTCTGGGCTGTAACAGGTTCAAAGTTTAGCAGCATTTTGTTAAAGAAACCAGTAACAACATGAATGGTAGTGTATGTAGCCTTTGAGTCTAATGCTGTCAATTTTCTCCTCTTCCCACATGGTGGCGCTGTGGAGCTTTGATAGTGTCTCCTTGCACATTATTAGGCCATTAAGAGGCAATGTGATGATTCCCGTATGTTCTATTTGCACATGTGAGAAAGTGATGATTTATTTATTTATTTATTTTTTCATAGCAATCACTAGACTAACTAGACCAAGTGTTTTCAGTGTTTGTGTCACTGCTGAAACTTTTAGACATGACTGTACATGATGTCTGCTGTTTAGAAACGAAAAAGTTCTGACTGAACCGTGTGGATTCAACAGGAGAACTGCTCATCCTGTGGGAGTTTCTGGAAGGGAATTTCCTCAAGCTTCCAGAAAACCTGCATCATCTTTTCGCAAAATGATAAGTTCAGGGACAGTTTGTGGAAGACAAGTTTTTTTAATCTCTTGTGACATCACACATCTCACACTTTGTATCAAAGATTCCTACTGTCTGAATTTCTTGGCTTTTTGTTGTCTGTTAATTATTGAAAATTGTATTTTTAGTCTCCGTTTCAAGAACAATAGTTCTACAAATGTTTGAGGTTGGAAACGATACAAATCAACACTTGTGTTTGTATTAACATCTTGTTAAAACTTTACAACTTGCTCTTTTAAAATGTGATTACTAGTGTAAAAGGTTTAGCCTTATTCAAATGTTAATATAAACTGTTTCCTCACCCACTTTGAACTGTAACACATTCCATTATATTTATTTTGGTTAATGTATGTGGTGCTAATTGGTAATGTGGTCACAAAAGCAGTTTTCCTCCTGAAATTGAAGCCAATTCTCTCATGTTGTGTGACTAAAAGTGGAACTGTTGATTTTTTCCAGTTCCTCTTTTGGTAAAATCCATTTATCAAGGAAACTATTAAAGATCATCTCTTGCAGGTTGTTTTTGTGCTAAGCAGCTTTTTACGGTGGAACACATTCCAGACATAACGGCCTCGTGCTATTAATCGATCTGACAGCTCGATGTCAGTTTCATTCTATGCTTTTAGTAATGTTATGGCATTTTGTCATAGTGTATATAAACATAGTGTAAGAAAAGTAAATATTCAGAAGCAGAATTTTGTATTGATTTAGAGCTAATTGACTTTACTTTCAAATGTAAGAGGAAATGTTAAAGAATTTTACAATCATTTATTGTTATAATTCAAAGTTAATTATTACTATTATTCAGAATAAAACTTCCAGTGTATTTTTTTAATTTGTATGTTAACTAAAGATGTACTGCAATATCCCATCTCTAGTGATACTGTGTTGCTTTGTAAAGGTTTCATTGCTGTAACCTGAGCCTAAAGATAAGGAATGTAATTTTATCTCTTAAAAGAACTAGAAAAACTTGTTGCTGTATGGAATCCTTGAGCATTTGTACAAGTTTTGGAATGAGTTCGAGACAAATGCAGGAAATATTAATTTTATGGCTAAGCTTGAAGACGACCCTAATCTGCTATATTAACTTTCTGATAGTCATGACAGATGGGTCAAAGCAATATAAATAGAAGTCGATATCATCGTAGACATACCATTCTATTTGACAAGTCCATAGTTTGTTGGTAATATTCAGTTAGAATAACAGATGAGTGTCTCTTCAGTCTCTTGAGGCAAGGCCATGTTTTGAGTCATCATACCCGTGTCCATGACTGGTGCCCTTCCAGACTCACAGGTGCACGTCTCCCTGGAGGGAGGTACAGTCAGCACCTCCATGTCCACCTCAAAACTGGTCTTTGCCTCTCCAGACTCCCGAATAATGAGCATCTCGTACTCTAAGAACCGGATCAGAGCCTTGTCTGGAAGGTCCATTCTCTCCAGGTAGTCCAGCGACGATCCGTTCACTGACAGCCGCCTCTCTGGCTCAGGTTCTGAATGGAGAACAGCATGTCCGGGCTATTGGGTGTACGGTAGGCGTTTAGGGCCAGCTGTTTGCGGGACACCTTGGGGTCAACCAGAGAATAGGTGCAGGCCTGGCTGTCACGACCCAGCCTGAGAGGATCATCGGCAGAGCGTCTGCTCCTGGTCCCCAAGGGAAGCAAGTCATAGAGACCTTTACAGTTTTGCTCAGGGTGGTAAAACTTGATGTGGAGTAAAGTGAGGAGGTCCTCCTCTGTCTCCATTGTCTGAGACACGTTAGTCATGGATGAAGAGATCTAAAGTTATAAAATACTGTAAAGCATTTATACATGAACAATGTGCAATGCTTTTCATTGTTAAACCAAGATATTTTTGTCCTACCTGGAAGCTTTTTCTTCAAAGAAAGATATAGATAGACTCCCAATTTTCAGAGAGAATAAAATATTCGCTGAAAATAATCAGCGTAGCTACTGGTAATGACTCCCGACCATTTGTTTCTGTCAGTGCGGTGTAAACTTTTCTCTTGTCGTCTCAAGTGTCATCATTATCTCACGCCCCATTTGTAGCCATGGTGCTTTCACATACGAGTCTGAAGTTCCTACTCTTCCTACTGCAAGTCATACTTATAGTAGGAAAGTTTTCTGTTTGGACAAATGGGCAACGTTTTAAAGCAGGTTGGATTATTTTCCACTTTAGGCTTTACAATGACCTGAGACACAAAAAAAAGTGTGACAGTTGATCAGAAGACTGTAAAATAAAACAGTCTTCTGATGAAATAAAATATCCACAGTAAGTTGAAGACTTACTGGACATCAGTCTCTCATGTCTAGTAAAGACATTGGAGACTTAGTGGAGTGTCAAAAACAAACCTGCTGTCCTACTTTTCTTTTAGGTTTCTTTATTGCTGTGGAACACATTTTTACAGTAAGACCTTAAAAGCACCGTTACAGCTCTGGAAATTCCCTTTTGTTGCAACTTTAAACAGGGAGGAGGTCACTTCTTGGTTTCACATTTGCGAGCCAGAACAACTTACAGCTTACTCTGGAACGCTATTTCTGAACAGATGAACTGTTACTTATTAACAAACTGCTATATACTGTTTACATTGTCGACTACAACAATGAAGTATTTTGTTCAACTGTCAATTTTTGGAAGAAAATTAGAAGTAGTATAAAAAGTACAATGGTGTTAATTATGATGTGATGACTGAAATGTTTGTCAACAATTTAATAAAGAAAAGATTATAATATGATTATATCCAATCAGATACCCCATTTTTAGACATTTAAAAATATTGGATCACCTGAAGAGGCATTCTTTTTTCATATTTTTCAAATAAAGCTATAGAAAATTCAACTGACTAAAACTAAAATCACAACAGATGGTTAAAATGCAAATAAATCTAAATTACCCAGGCTACGACTAAAACTAAAACCGGGCGGTCAACTGGTTGTACAACTTACAAGTTTTGTTTTTCAGACAGTGAAAACATGACAAGAAAGTGGAAGTAGGATTATTCTCAATGTAGATTTGTTTGCGAAATTGTGGCAAGTTTCAACAAAATGGTTCTTGTGAAACCATATGTTGGAATGACAACGTTGTTTCAAGTGTAAATCAGTATCATGTAAAATCTTTTTTTTTTTTCAGCTTGACATCAAATTACAATGTTATTCCTTCATCAAAAACATACCTGGCCTGCTGCCCCAAATCTTTCATGCATATTTGAGAAATCCTTTAATCTCCGATGGCAACCATTCATCTATGCAAAATGTCTGGGCGGATCTAGTGCTGCCTTCAGACACAGCTCCTTCTCAGAGAAGCAGTTTCCCAGCTTCTGAGCTCCCGCCACACAGTGCAACCCTTCCTCGCTTCTCTCTCACTCAGCTCCTTCAGACTAGCCGGCAGCAATTAGCAAACACCTGGTGGCAATCTACCATTTTATTGACTTGACTTAATTTTGGCTGAATTTCATTATTAATAAATTGTTTAAGCTTAAAATCTTGTCGCAAGATTAAAATTATTATTAATATTACTCTTTTCAAACCTTTAATTTTTATATATATATTTACTCTTCTGAACCTTAGAGAGACGTAGGATTTGAAGCTGGTGTGCTTCAAATCTTTGTGGTGCTACTTCAGGTGATGAAAAATGACTACTTTTATGGACCTTTCAGCTAACCTCTCTGTCCACGTTTGAATACAAATAAAACCTCTTAAGCACTACCAATGTAAGACATTTTTCTGTCATATTTCAAAACGGAGACCCTTGTAAAACCTGAAATTTTCTGATGTGGTTCTTGTTTTACAAGAGATTTCAGAACCACCCTGCTGGGCACCTTCAAAGTGGAGTTTAACATTCCGCACTCTAGATGGCGGTGTGGTGCTACATTTCTCACATCTTCCTCTTGACATAGCTAACAGGAAGTTGTGGGAAGAACGGTCCACAAAAGATATTTCATTCTATCCAGGTCGTCTTTGGAAACCGTGAGTACATTCTTTGTGATTGATATTATTTATTGCTACAATTACATGCTATTGTCACTAGCACTTTGTCTGACGTCGAGCAAACTCACTCAACGGGCGCGTGAAATGTCCTTTGACATTTCGTGTTAGTGTGGCTGCGGCTTTCAAGGTGCTAGCTGATAGCTCAAGCTTATGGAGTTAAAACAGTCTCATACTTTACAAATAGACAGACTGAGATTCACAAATGAAAAGAGGAAGATTCACACTTGTATTTTTGATGCCAACACAAATATGTCTTCTGGACTGTGAGTTGTGTTGCATTTGTGTGTAAATCTTGAGACGCTCCTGCTGTCTCAATAGACCAAATGTCTTAAAAAATATATTATAATAATAATAAATGGTATACCTGATTGGATGATAAGCAACCAGTCAGATAGCTTCCTTGTTTCGGTCAGTCACATGACTGGACCCTCAGGTTGGGGTAACCTGTAGCCATGAAGAAGCTCAGACAATTTAGACCTCAGCCTGACTTCTGGCAGCAGAGAAGCGGTAAGTGAATCTTGATTTGTGAATTATGAGACTGATTTAGCTCCATATTTGTTTCATGAATGTCATTTATTGTGCATCATGTATGTTAATATCATATTTACCCTGTTTCCATTACATTTTACTTCCCTTGTTGATTAAACAGATTCTCAGCAATGGTGAAGATTTTTGTGGGGAACCTTCCCCGAGAAGCTACCGAGGATGAGATCAAGGAGCTCTTCGAGGAGCATGGCACAGTCACTGAATGTGCCATCATCAAGAACTTCGCCTTCGTCCATATGGATGACCGTAAGGCTGCCACCAAAGCCATCAAGGCCCTTCATCAGCACAAGCTCCATGGCACAGCAATCAATGTTGAGGCCAGCCACGGGAAGAACCAGGGCCCCGTGAAACTGCATGTAGCCAATGTAGAAAAAGGAGCTGATGACGAACTCCGTGCTCTGTTTGAAGAGTACGGTACGGTCACAGAGTGTGCTGTTGTCAAGAATTTTGCTTTTGTGCACATGCCCAACTATGATGAGGCCATGGATGCTATCAAAGGGCTTGATAACTCTGAGTTTCAAGGTAAGAGAGTCATGTGAGAGAAATTAAGCAATGCTCTTTCAAACTGAAATGGATTAATTATTTTATTTTTTTTGTAGACAAACGCATCCATGTTCAGGTTTCTAAGAGTCGACCAAGGTATGAAGAATGTGAAGAGTACCCACCTCCTCCCCCAGACAGGGGAGGTTACTGGCCTCCACACTATCCAGGAGAGCGGCCTGAGCCTCCCCCACCCGGTTACCTGAGGGGTCGCCCCATGCCCCCTGGTTATCCAGGTCCTCCTCTGCCACCCCCTCCTCCCAGGCGGGCAGCTTATCCTGAGCGGCCCTATGACAGCGAAAGGGAGCGATACAGTGTAGTAGATTACTACGAGAAGTACCGTGCTCGTCCGTATGCCATGTCTCCCTATGAAGAGCATCGTGCTATACCCCCACCTCCTCCGCCTCCGCCCTCTTCTGTCGTTCGAGACCGCCTTATGACCTCACCGCTTAATCCATATGAGCGTCGCCCCCTCCCTCCTCCGCCTCCGCCCTCATCGTACTACGCCCGAGATCGCAGCCCAATCCGGAGGGCTCCTAACGCACCGTTACCCCCTCCGCCCAGTAATGGCTATGCCTACGATCGCTCTCCATACACAGTTCCACGTGCAAGGGATCCCTATGCGGACCGGCTGCCTCCGCCTCCACCTGCACGCTACGCATACTAATGCGACACGTCAGCATTTTGAAGGTGAGATTAGGACAGAGTTAAAAAAAATATATATATATATATATTTTCTCGCTCTCCACTTCGTCCCTCTAAAGGCAGAGGCAGCTTTAGATAATCTTGGACGAAACCTGCAATTTTCGTCTCACAAATCACTGTTTGAATACAAATTACTTTATTAGTAAAACATTTAAACTGTGATTCGACGCGACAGAAAATAATGTTCTGTTTGGAGGCTGACTGACGAAAGGGCCTTCGTACTGGACATTGGGGAACAAAAGTAATGGAAAACGTACTGTTAATGTCCTGGAGGCAAATCGTTCATTTGTTTTATTTGCTCTTTTTTCAGGATTGTTGTCCGACTGCGTCGCTGCTTCCTGATTCACGTGACTTTATCCTCTTCCTGTCTGCGGCTGAGCGCGTTTCGTTCCTCTACAACACTCAAAAGGAACTGAATTCTTTTCGTCAGTGGCTGTTTGTTTGGTTTTAGTACCTAGAATATGTTTTTTCCTTCTTCTGACTGTTTTAGTATTGAATTGTACTGTAAAGACCTTACTGGCAAACGTCTGAATGGGGCGTCTTTTTTTTTTAAAACAACCTTTTCGTTTTATTAAGCGTAATATTGTGTGTGACGTTAGAAAGTTAAATAACATTCGCATTCCTTTAAAGGCGGCTTTAGTTTACTCCCCAACCTGCACGTTTGATTAATCATGTAAATGCTCTCCATCAAAATTCAAACTTCTGTGGCGTTGCTGAAACGTAAATGAATAACATGTAAATTTAATGACGCAATTAATACTGTGCGATTGCAAGATCTGTTAAATGTTCCCTTTTGGTAAAATAATTTTTGGTTAGTAAGTGTGATCTCGATGCTCACTGCGCAACACCTTTTCACCTCTGTAACCGTTTGTCATTATTTGCTGTTTTCAATCATCTTTTCCTTAATAGAAACAAACGAATCACAACCATGTAAAAGCGTTACGTTTATTAAAGAACGTGTTGTCGGATCTTGTGAGTTTTTATCACTCACCAGCGTACCACTCGACTTTACCCACTCAGTATCAAAATTTAAATAAAGTCAAAGTTCTTCCTAGTGTACGCAAAGATTTCCAAGCCAAAACCTCTGTTGACCTGGGGCCAGCACTAACATCCAAAGGCTGTAGGGGAGCTTCACAGTCAGCAGGTAAGTCAAGGGATTTCTGACACCAGAAATATGTCACCTGTTTGTTTTTACTGCTTTTGTAGATCATCATCAGTTTTAGAAACTGAGGACTTCATGTTGTAGGAATGAAACTGAACAATGAAGTTTTGCAATTTAGGAGTTTTTACTATTAATTTACAGCTTCACAGATGGGTGACAAAAAATGAGACGTCAAACAAGTGTTATCAGGCACCTCTCTTAACATGACCCTATTTTAATGAAAAAAGATGTCAATATGGGCTCCATGTTCTTTGTACGATAAAAGGAAGTCACTGAATGGCAGGTAGAGTCATGGAAAAAAAATAGACTCAAGTAATTGTGATTTTTATGTACTAGCACTGTGTTCTTAGTCAAAAGCTCCAATTAGATTAATACTTCCCAGCAAGATGGGAAGTATTAGGAATTTCACACTTCAAGTCATCATGTGGATGATTTCATCTCTTGCAGCTGGCCTGACAGGACTCAAGTCTGACTTACGTGGTCAAATAGGTTAGCAGACATGCTTCAAAATGACCTTTGTAGCATGGAACCACTTTGTAGTCAGTGGTTGTAAAGGCTGTACATAGCACTTAGTTGTGTTGCACTTCAGAGAAAAGTTCCAACAGGATTAATCCTAGAAAGCTGAAACGAGCTAGTTTTGGTCTCTAGACACTCTCTTTGGCACATTGCAGTTTACGTTATCCTTGAACAAAACTAAATTCACTGTTTTTAAAGGTAGCTTGCACACCGCTTTGCACATGTTTTCCTTGTGACTTTGCACACACAGCTATCCCAGCATTGTATTGCTTTACCAGCACAAAACGGTAAAACTTGGTGTATGCCGGCCATGAAGTTAGGACTTTACACAGCTCTGTAATTGGTTTGTTATTGACACATCTGAAGTTTGTTGTGAAAAAGGGTTGAATTCATGACACCTAGAACACAAGAACCCTTGTGATAAAATGTACAAAGTGGATCTTTTCAGTCTACGGTTTGTGGGTGTAATGAATCAGCTCCTCTTTGATTGAATATGCTTCGTAGTGCTAAGTACAGTTCTGACACCTGAAAGAGGTTCTGCTAATCCTGTTTTTGTATGAACGTCTGCTTTCTGACTTACCAAGTTGAAGATTATTAGAAGATGCCAGAGTGAAACGCATTCCAGGGAATAGTTTGATATACTCATTCACAAAGGGAATGGTCCAGTTTGGATGGGAAGAGATAACAATGTAATTTGTGATTTCTAACATGCTAGTAGAACTAAAAGGCCCACCAGAAGACATATAATAGTGGCACAGTCATGGAACTGATTGTTGAAATGTTCAGCAATGAAAACAATGAAGTTCAGCCTCAAGTATGTTTAGAAGTTGCACTAGAAGGCATTACCAGCTCTGTGGTCATTTTTTAATCACAGATTTGAGTGCTCCTTACAAAATATTTTTGGAATGATATAGTGCAAAGACCTTCATTCATGTTCAGACTGAGATCATCCACATGCCATTGGTAATGTAACTGTTTATGGCGGTGTTGTACATCACATTGTCAGGAAATAAATTGTATTTCATAAAATGCGATTTCTATTCGATTTGATGCCAAAATGCAGTGGAACTGATCTTTTACCAAAACATCAGATTTGGTTTTGTCATCCATCTGTAAAATGAAGTTGCTAATAAAGTCTTTTCAGTAAATAAAAAGATTTGTTCTAACTTTCTGGTTACATTAAAGACAGTGTGAAAATAGAATTCTTTTAGAGGATGTTTATGTTGAAGCTTAATATTTTCTCCCAGTTAGCACGAATAACTTTCATAAATAGAAATCTGTATTTTGCACTTGTAAGGACAAAATATTTTTGTTTGCATGTGGTGATGTAATTTTTGGAAGTAGTATTTGCAAACAAAAAAAAAGAACTTTCAAAAATGTACAGTGATTTCAGTTTCTGTCTTTTTATAAGTCTGATTTAACATAAAGTATTTTTACCCACAGAATTGACTTTGTGTATGTCATCTGAAAACCATGGTTGTATTTCTTAGCTTCATACATTTCAAGCGTTGAAATTGCAAACGGTTTCTGCTTGGGAAATGATGAGGCAGGAATTGTTCTGTTTTGAAAAAATTTAGATTTTTTTGAAAAGAAAATATTCAAGAATCAGTAGCTATTTTGAACAATTCAAAATCTCAGTTTGACAATACTAAAGGTTTACTGGGGAAGTCAATTTAACAGTATTTTGGAAAATTTATATTTTTTAAAGTTATATTTTGAACGATTGACATATTTTTATTAAAAATGTATTGCTGATTTACCTTTAATAGATGATCTTTATATTTTATAATAATACCTTTACTCTGATTATAAAAACTGATTTGTTTAAATATTTCATTTAAAACAAAATTTTGACGCAATTACCAGTGTAGGACTGAAGGCGGACTCTTTAGTTGTGGTGAAAAAAGCTTTCATCCTGCAGCATCTCTTCATACAGCACAAGGACGTTTGTCCAGTTCAAACTATAGTTAACCAGTTCAGTCTGAAAGACATGGCAGTTCAAGCCAGATTCACAGACTATCTCTTCAGATTCTCTGACGTTACCTTTTGTCTTTAGTGACTCAACAAATAAGCTATTTCCCCATAAAAATAGCTTTCCAATGTTTACCTGGTCAAGAGACAGAAATTTATAGCGTGAAGGAAATACAAGATAGTTACTGGTTCTCTTGTTCAAAGTCCAGACGTACAGGCATTTTTCTGAGCTTCTGTGTGGAACACTTGATTATTCTTCAATATGCTGCAAGCCTTATACAGACAGCTTTTTCACGCTCTTGGGCCGTGTCACACTTCTCCTTTCAGTGGATTTGGGTTTCAGATGGTTTTCCCAGCAGATAGTCTCGTCCCTCCAGTAGAGTCGCCCTTTTAAGCCTCCATGTTATGGAAGCTGGAAGTGAAGCATTTGTGTCTGAGGGACTCTGACCAAATAGGTCAGAAGGCTTACTTTTGACCCCATAGCACCTTTCAGTTGCAGTTTTGCCATGTAACTTATGGATTTCAATGTTTAAACACCCAAAGGAGAGGCTGGTAGCAAAAGCTTTTCTGTCAAGTTTCCCAACTTGATCTATAATGGGAACATCATTTACAAATGTTGGACAAAAGATGCTGTAAAAATAGTAGTTTATTGCTTAAACCTATGATTCAGAAGTAAATAACATTAAAACATCACAATATTCATATTTACAAAAATGAAAGCAGACATTTAAGGTTCTAGATTTATTTGATCTATTTGCAAAAGTCAAAGTAAAGAATTTAATAATTTCACAATAGAATATAAATATCATTACCAAATTAAACTTTACTGTAACAAATGGATAGCAATGTCTTGATGCTTAGCTCAGTCTGGTGATCATTCATAATGGATGAGTGTCTTATCAGTTTCCCGAGGTCCAAGTTCTCTTAACCCAGCCGTGTTTTGAGTCATCATACCCGTGTCCATGACTGGTGCCCTTCCAGACTCACAGGTGCACGTCTCCCTGGAGGGAGGTACAGTCAGCACCTCCATGTCCACCTCAAAACTGGTCTTTGCCTCTCCAGACTCCCGAATAATGAGCATCTCGTACTCTAAGAACCGGATCAGAGCCTTGTCTGGAAGGTCCATTCTCTCCAGGTAGTCCAGCGACGATCCGTTCACTGACAGCCGCCCTCTCTGGCTCAGGTTCTGAATGGAGAACAGCATGTCCGGGCTATTGGGTGTACGGTAGGCGTTTAGGGCCAGCTGTTTGCGGGACACCTTGGGGTCAACCAGAGAATAGGTGCAGGCCTAGCTGTCACGACCCAGCCTGAGAGGATCATCGGCAGAGCGTCTGCTCCTGGTCCCCAAGGGAAGAAAGTAATAGAGACCTTTACAGTTTTGCTCAGGGTGGTAAAACTTGATGTGGAGTAAAGTGAGGAGGTCCTCCTCTGTCTCCATTGTCTGAGACACGTTAGTCATGGATGAAGAGATCCTGATAAAATCTGTTGAGAGATTAGAAGTAATAAAATGCTTGAGGAGAAAACTGATCGAGAAAGCATTCAAAGTCATAGAGATAACTTGGGCTGAGGCAGTTTCCTCATCAAAGAAATGTGATACAAACAAGACACAACAAAGGAAAGTCTAGTCTTACCTGAAAGCTAACTGTTTCACGTGAAAGTCTTTTTTTCTGCCCTCGCACAGAAACGAAAGTGATCAACTACGAGCTGAGGACAAAGTGAGTAACATCGCTTCTTCTCCTTATGAAACAGGAAAGGCTCTTCCTGTCTGCTCTGTAATCTTTCGTCATTCTCTCCCCTCCCTTAACCCCGTGACCTGTTGCTTTCAAGCATAAATTCAGAAATTGCAGTACTAGGTATTTTTGCTTGAAATTATGCAGCAGTAAACAGAAACTATTTTTCAACATTTTTAAACTTGAATATAGCAGTCAAGAATTTCTGTCAACCAACATAAAAAAATTGGAAGGTTAAATTTGAAAGACTCACTGATATAGTACTCTGTCAACATATCAGCAGTTTTTGTCTTACATTTTGAAAGGACTTTGTGGTTTCCGACCTGTAGAAGATGTATAAATAAATGTTTCTTACTCACTTAAGATATGTATTTTTGGGTCTTTTGCTGCATCATAAGACAAAGAATAACTGAACTACAGATATTATTAAAAATCCTACTATCTCATTTTTTCACTACTAAGGTTTTTTGTGGGCAGAATGTTTTCTTATTTCAAGCAAACTTTTATTACATGGCTTTATTGTACATGCTCGCTCTGGCGTGGCCTGGAGGATCCTTTAACAATGGGAAAATTTGCATAGTTTCACAATTGTTAAGCCTTCAGTGCTTATCGGAGCAGTGGCGGAGCTAGACTTTTTTTCAAGGGGTGGCCAAAGGGTGAGCAAGGCTTTATCAGAGGGGTCCATATACAAATGATGAATGAAAGGAAACAAATAAGTTAAGTTGTAATTAGTTAAGTTTGTGTAGCATAACATGGGTAGTGTGTGCCTACCAACTGGTCCTTTTGGTGTGCAATAGGTTGTGCTGGGTGGGGGGAGTTCAGTGCCATTTCCTTCTGCTTCACCGTCTTCCTCCCCAGAGTCTGTCTCTGAATCTATATCACAATCATCTCTCTCTGGAACTTAATTGTGAAATGCATAAACAGACACAATAGAAAATGCAAAAAGCATCATGCTAACCTTTAGAATTAGGCTTATAATAACTCTCTGTCACAGCCTCTAACCCGCTGGTGATACACTTGGGCCTGGTGTTTCCTGGCTGGCTTCTACAGGTTGGTCACTGCAGCAGAGTTCTGTCTGGTCCTGGTCTGGCCCTGGTTTTTACCTCTTTAAGAAGAACTGGGAGATATTCCATTTTCTCTTCATTTGGGCTCTACACAAAATAAGAGCCTGGTATTTAGACTCCATGACTGTTTGGCAGAGATAACACTATTTTAACTATTTAATCTATAGTTTTTAGTTTTCTGTAGCTAGCTAAAATACTAAATTAAAAATAGATTAAATTAATTAATATAACTACTTAGGTTATAATTCAAAGCTTTCATATGACATAGCCTACTTACATTTCAGTCATTATAAAACTTAATGGTTTTTCACATATTCTTACCACACACATTTCAAGCAAGAGCTGGGAGATATAAAACATTAGAGGGCAGCATGTGCACTAAAACATATGTTAAAAGAATCTGTCTAAAACACGATCTATCAGCACTAGCATGGCTAATATAATAAACGAGGTACTATGCAGCGGTGCACAACCATTTTTTTTTTCTTTTTAGAAATGTATGACAAGTGCCGCCTCTCATTAGGAAGGTAACACAGCGGTTACCGCTGAGCGGTAAAATGTTGTAAATACCTGCAAAACTCCTCAACGGCATACTCTAAAGCCGCGGGTGTGTTTTGGATCAACCAGGAACCACATGTCAGTTTAACCAATGAACAGCGTCAGTGAGCAGCATAGGCTGCTACTGCATCGGGCTGCCTTCAGGGACAGTCGGAAATTACACTTTTTCTGGCAAATCTTTGCCGATTTCATAAGTAGGCTATTATATTTTAAAATTACCATTTCCAGTGGGGTGGCAGTAGGGGTAGCAAGAGCTCTGTTGGGGGTGGCATTTCACCCCTCTGGCTCCGCCACTGTATTGGAGAGGAACCTTGTGAAAGTTAATCGTTCTCATTAACCCAGGTGTGTGTAAACATTCATTTCTTTCTGTTCATCTTTGACATAAATCAAGCTGCAAAACATTTGGAAAATCAACAACTTAACAGCTTTACCTCATTTCACCAAGGCTTGTGCGCATCGTTTGTTTACAGTTATCTTAAAGTATATTCAGCATGTGGACTAAACTTCAGAAGTTAAACTTCACATGTGGCCGGAGTTACCTTTGATATTAAGAGCACTTCAGTGTCAACTCAAGTACAAAGCTGCAAAACAATCCCAAATTCTCTAAAACAATTTGGATGTTAAGCACAGTCTGTGATGGTGGGCTCAAACATACTGTGCTTTTTCTTTGTTTTTTGTTTTTTTAAAAAGAGTCTGTGCTTGTTCATTGTAGGTTTTGCCTAGCATTTTCTTCTCATATCTCTTATTTTGTAAAGTTTCAATGGAACTTGTAAAGTAACGACGGATTTATTCTGCCTATTTGATAAGCAACAACAGGTTGCTCCAAATGTTTGAACAAAGATTGATCTAGTGATAAATCAGCTCTAACATTTTGGCATAAAACACGAGAATTAACACAAAATAAAAATGCCACGTCGTTGTCCTTAGTAAATATGACAAACAAAATTATAAGTTCACTTATACTAGGTTGAATGTGTTATTTATGATCATTTTTGAAGTCTCTTTATGAATAATGTATTATTTGACCCTCCACAACAGCGCGCGGCGTGCTTCACGTCGTTGCGTGGAAGAAGCGGAAGTCGTCAATTTGTGACGGAAGTTGTGAGGAGAATACCTCGTCAGATAAACTTGGATGTTTTGGCCGTTTAATACAAAGGTACTGAAAACATATGTTCATTTATACCTGCATTATGTTTTATTTAGCATTTCCGAATCAAGTGTTTCTCCTTTTGAGCCTTTGTTCGTCTTGTTGTAAGAAGTGTTACATTGAATGGCTACCTAAAGTAAAGCTACGGAAGGCTCAAGTTATTGTTCAAGATTTTACGTTTACAAAATAAACGCGATGGTCATGAAAGTTGATCTTTAATGACTTTAATGAAAACGGTTTATCAATAGAAAAAGCGGTAGAGTTCAGGCGGCACCAAGCTAGACCCTTCAGCTCTTATTACGAAGTAACTAACAGTGAAAACCATGTTTTTGGCAAGCATGTATACGCAATTTGTGTATTGATCTGTTTTTTCTCCTCTCCCTGTGTCCCCTGGTGTAGCCAAATGTTATGTATGTTTGTATTGCTGAGTGCAGCAGAAAATAAGAGCTTAACAAAATATAAATACATTGAAGTTACCATCAAATTAGCAGATCTAGTCCATGTCTACTTTCATAAAATAAGGTCTCATTAAAATATAGTTTAATAATTGTGAGATTTAATAAATCAGAGAAAAGGAAAAATGTCAATCTCCATCTCTGAAAATTAGATCAGAAAATTAGGTCAGGTGTCAGGACGTGTAACAGCACGTTTGGTAGACCCGTCAAATATTTATTCTGATATTTGCCTGATGGTGGCTCGGGTTTCTGACGCATTTAGCCTGCAGTACATAAAGAAAGCATAAAGAGAATGCGCGATCAAGTTGTGTCGATCTACATATTGTAGTTTAAATAGAGGAGTAGCAGGTGACTGTTGAGGAAGGAAAAAAAAGTAATTAAAGAATAGATGTCGGTTAGACTCTTAAGCGCAGGAAATGCGCACGCCCCCTCTCCCTTTTCAGTTGCTTTGTCTTTTTTGTGAGTAAATAACTTATTGGTGTTTTCCCATCATGACCTGGTGTGAAGTGTGGTTTAGCCTTTGAGTTGCACCACAGCACAGCACAAGAGGATCCTGTAGAACAATATGGACTCTGAATATCGGCTTTTATGTGTACGAGTATACATAAAATATAGTATATATCTATTTAAATATGTCATCACCTAACCTTATGTATAGTTTTATACATTTTCTTTTTATATTTTTGTCATTGTTTTTATCCTTTGCATATTATGGTGGCTTACAATGATTCCAAAGACTGTATAGGAATGACCTTGTGGTGTTATCATTGGAGGGAGATGGGGTGTTGGTTTCTCTAGGTTTCAGCCAGCATTTTCCACACCATAGCTTGGGTCTGGAAGTGCTAGTGTTCGGACTTGGAGACAGGTGGATTTACTTTAAGTTGCAGGGAAACTTGGATTTTCCTTCCTGTTCCATAACTTTCCTATCCCATTTTGCTTTTAAATAGATTCTCAGCAATGGTGAAGATTTTTGTGGGGAACCTTCCTCAAGAAGCTACCGAGGATGAGATCAAGGAGCTCTTTGAGGAGCATGGCACAGTCACTGAGTGTGCCATCATCAAGAACTTCGCCTTCGTCCATATGGATGACCGTAAGGCTGCCACCAAAGCCATCAAGGCCATTCATCAGCACAAGCTCCACGGCACAGCAATCAATGTTGAGGCCAGCCACGGGAAGAACCAGGGCCCCGTGAAACTGCATGTAGCCAATGTAGAAAAAGGAGCTGATGACGAACTCCGTGCTCTGTTTGAAGAGTACGGTACGGTCACAGAGTGTGCTGTTGTCAAGAATTTTGCTTTTGTGCACATGCCCAACTATGATGAGGCCATGGATGCTATCAAAGGGCTTGATAACTCTGAGTTTCAAGGTAAGAGAGTCATGTGAGAGAAATTAAGCAATGCTCTTTTAAACTGAAATGGATTAATTATTTTATTTTTTTGTAGACAAACGCATCCATGTTCAGGTTTCTAAGAGTCGACCAAGGTATGAAGAATGTGAAGAGTACCCACCTCCTCCCCCAGACAGGGGAGGTTACTGGCCTCCACACTATCCAGGAGAGCGGCCTGAGCCTCCCCCACCCGGTTACCTGAGGGGTCGCCCCATGCCCCCTGGTTACCCAGGTCCTCCTCTGCCACCCCCTCCTCCCAGGCGGTCAGTTTATCTAGAGCGGCCCTATGACAGTGAAAGGGAGCGATACAGTGTAGTAGATTACTACGAGAAGTTCCGAGCTCGTCAGTATGCCAGATCTCCCTATGAAGAGCATCGTGCTATACCCCCACCTCCTCCGCCGCTACCCTCATCTGTCGTTCGAGACCGCCCTCTGACCTCACCGCTTAATCCATATGAGCGTCGGCCTCTCCCTCCTCCCCCTCCGCCTCCGCCCTCATCGTACTACGCCCGAGATCGCAGCCCAATCCGGAGGGCTCCTAACGCACCGTTACCCCCTCCGCCCAGTAATGGCTATGCGTATGAGCGCTCTCGACTATCTCCTGTTTCCCGGGTCTCTGCATATGGCGTTCCACGCGCAATGGACCCCTATGCAGGCAGGCTGCCTCCACCACCTGCTCGTTATGCATATTGACAATTGAAGGTGAGCATAGATCAGAGATACCGTCGTCTTCACATCCCGCTTTAAAATGCATTACGTACCTCTAAAGGTAGAGGCAAACGTCTGTGTCTGAGTGGTTTGGATTCTCGTCAGTGCATTTGCTTGAACATTCCTAATATGAGATTCAAAGCTATGAAGAAAAATTTCTGTCGGACAGGTTTTAAGTTTCTGACCTTAGAAGGCAGCAAAAACTGTGATGAAACTGCGCGTTTTGATTCTACATGTGTAGATAGTTCATTTTGTAATTTGCTCTTTTTCAGGAATTTTGTCCGACTGCGTTGAGGCACGGCGCCTCCTGATGCGCTCTTCATCCTAGCTCTTCATCGCTGCGGCTTGGCGCGTCGTGTAGGCCTTTGATGATTACGAGAAGAGCCAGACCGGTGGCGTTGACGTCTCTTTTTGTTTTAACTTGGGAGGATTCTTTCTTTTTTTTTTTTACATTTTTTGGGAATAATTCTACTAGTAGTATTTTAATTGTTTTAACGTCTGAGTAATCGCATCGCATGTTTCAGTTTCTTTATTTTTTTGCATCGTTTAAGTAATTTTGATTTATGCGAGTCTGACAAACCTAAATTATGCCTGCAATATAATAACGACAAAACTTTGGCCCTCGAACAGAAATGTAGTCTGTACGTTTGTTCCGTCATGTCAGTGAAACGCTAAATTCTCCAACAATAATATTGTAAACCTTTTGTTTATGTCGTCAATTTTTAATGGATGAATTGGATGGGGGGAGGTTATTTGCTCAGTTTTTGTCTAAAAGAAAAACAACTACTTTGATCACTTTGATCAGGTGTTGGTATCACAACCAAAATGTGATGCACCAGCAATCTGACCATGTGACGGTCAAAACGGTGAGTAAAGGTAGATGGATCGTTTGACAGGAGTTTGATTGGGTTGCATTTGGTTTCTCATAAGACTGGCTGCCAATATTCTGCAGCATGTACTCCTTACGATACGGTATGAGGAGATCTCGGTGCACCCTAGTTTTCCCAGCATTTAATACCTGACACTTGTAAGGTTCTCCTGCTGTACAATAGCATAACTTTTGGCACCTGGCTTTATGTAATCCCACAATGTCATCCACTATCAAACAACCAAAAGGGTAAAACATCCTAGAGGTGAATACGTTCTGTAGGCACTATCTTACTTGTCGTAATAAATAACCTTGTCAAAGTCGGTGTGTTAGATAAAGAATGTGCCGTCTTTCTTGTGAGCTCCCAAAGTTTACTCTTTCCATCTACCCCTTCTGTCTATGCCAAAATGTTGCTATTTTCCCCATTTGAACCTCCCCCACAAAAACAACAAAAGAACGAAGAGGCAGGGAACATTTAATAGCAGAGGCTAATTTATTTGCATGCGGGGTCAGGATTACATCAAAGACATCTGAGCACCCTCATGATGAACAGGTAAGACAACTTACCAATACAGTCTTTTGTTTAGGTTATGTCAGTTTTGCTAGGTATAATCAGTCATACGGATCGATATCAGTCCATGATATCAACCTGTATCAACCTGGTAATTTGATATAACACATTACTTCTTTATATTTACTCACTGGCAAAACTAGTTGAGCACAATTTAAGGATGAAGGACATCTTCTATCGGATCTTGAGAATACTTGTGTATACTCATGTATAAATGAGTTTGTAAGGCCATAGCACTTGAGTACAGGTGTTGGTATCACAACCAAAATGTGATGCACCAGCAATCTGACCATGTGACGGTCAAAACGGTGAGTAAAGGTAGATGGATCGTTTGACAGGAGTTTGATTGGGTTGCATTTGGTTTCTCATAAGACTGGCTGCCAATATTCTGCAGCATGTACTCCTTACGATACGGTATGAGGAGATCTCGGTGCACCCTAGTTTTCCCAGCATTTAATACCTGACACTTGTAAGGTTCTCCTGCTGTACAATAGCATAACTTTTGGCACCTGGCTTTATGTAATCCCACAATGTCATCCACCATCAAACTTGCAACTTAAAGTCAAATGGAGTCATTTGACTGTCATGATTGTAACTTCCTGTATCATCTCCCTTGACCCATGACACCCTTGTTTAAGCTATTGTAAAAGAATGCAGCTTTGTTTGGAATTTGATTGTATGAAATCAGTTTTTATTTATAAAAGCATTCTTTCTAAATCCTTCACTTGGTGCTTTACTGGTTTTGTCAGTCAGTGTTAACAGTCTTGTAAGGGAGTACTGCATTTTTAAGACATAGGCAGTAAAATTTATACTTTCTGCAATCTTTAAATGTGGAAGATCCAAAGATGAGTTGCAGTGATTAGAAAATGAGTGTTAAAAATATAAATGAATTAGTCCAAAATGTAGATTTGTTAGGTTAAGCTGTATACTTTTTAGATATTAGAAATTTGCATTGTAGTGTTGACTTTTTATGTTTTAGTTTTTACATACGTTAATAAAACTTTCTAAAAAAATGACATGAATTTTGTGCTTGCTTTTATGCATTTGAGCCACATTCTTTTTTTCTTATTTTTACAAATGTATTGCATTTTCTGTTTTGCCTACTGACAGTGATTAAAACCTATGTTTTACAAATTGAGCTGAAGACTTTGTGAAGACGATGGCTTGGATGGGGTAAGAGAACTTTTCTTGTCCACACAGAAAAGTTCACAAGAAAAAATTATGGGCTGAAACATTGCTCATTAAAGTGGACGCAATTACAACAAAACAACCTAAAAATAAACTAAACAACTGGAAATTGCAAGTGCACACAGCAGGAATAGTGGGGTCTGACAAAACTAAAGTGGTACTGTTTGGCCATGATGACCATGTATATATTTGGAGGAATAGGGGGCATGCTTGCAAACCTGGGAACCCCATACCAACTGTGTAATATAGGGGTGGAAGCATCACGTTGAGGGGCTGTTTGCTTCAGGAAGACCTGGTGCATTTCATAAACTAGATTACATCTGATAGTGAGGTGGCCTGCTAAACTGACTCAGTTCCACCGGTTCTGTCAGGAGGAATGGGCCAGAACTCCAGCTAACTATTGGCAGAAGATCCTGTATGAAATCCCAAAATGTTTGACCCCAATTATGCTTTTCAAAGGAGTTGCTACAAAAAACTAAAGGGCTGTATGTAAATTTCTGACCTTGAAGACATTAAAAAATAAATCTCTAAACTTATTCTTTCTCTCGTTATTGTGGCATTTAGCAAATAGAAATAAATCTGGTAATTTCAGCTGACCTAAAACAAAAGAAAGTGTATTTAAACTTTTGGTGTCACCTATAAGTGCATTGCTTGCAGGTATAACCATGTTCATATTATGTAAGTTTTATTTCCATTTATTCTTTCTCACACACCTGAGGTGTAATTATTGTAGATAAACAGAATTATAAATACCAAAACCCTCAAAGGACAAACATCATTCTGAGATAATATAATCTTCCGATAAATCTTATCATAAATTTATGATTTTTATGGATGTTGACATAGTTGTTCTTGGGAATCAGGCAAGTGATTGAAAGAATCACTCTACTAGTTCCTTGATCGAAGCTGACAATAAGAACAGTGAAACTGATAAGCCAACTGTGAGCAATTTAACAAAAATATTAGTTAAATATTAAACTGCAATATGAAAGCAGCAGTAAGTGTTTGGCCTTGCTGAGACAAGTTGGACCTGGCTTTTGGCTCGACTCCTGGACATAAACAAGTCGATAGCAGTTGGTTAAACAGACCGCAGGACAATAAGATGTTCAACAAACTGATATGAAAGTAGTTCTCCGTACTCTGAAATGAGAACAGTTTACGGGAATGGCTTGCTTGAAGGGCTGAAATTGTGCAATAAAAAAAAACAACTAAACATTACTCAGCTGACTCCTTGGTGTACATCAACTATAAAACAATGAAGGCTCTCTGTCAATGTTAGATTTAATGGTCAGGTGGACATATTGCTTAAAGTTGTGGGAGTTCAGAGCAAAAATAATTATTTCAATGGTCCAGCCGAAGCTGAAATCTAAATCAAATTGAGAATCAATAGTGAGAGCTGAAGATTTATTAATAGACCCTTCCTATGTAATCTGAATGTAAGATAGTTTACAAATCAATCTGCAATGAAATGTAGCAAAAAAAGGTGCATAGCATTTGAATACTTTTGCAAGGCTCTAAAAATCTACAAACTTAAATTTTATTCAGTTAAGACTTCGGCCAGCAGAAGGCAGCATTTCACCAGCCTTTTGGGAAATTCACTCTGGCAAACATTTTGTGATCAGAGCACTATTTGAAGAAGTGATCCTACATCACATAGGTTTGGCCACCCGACTCAGAAGTTTGTATTTTAAAATAATCATTGCACACAGATAACACAATTCTTGTTTCAAAAAATAGAAATTACAAAAAGGACACTGTGGTCAAGTGACAAAAAGGGGTTTAAGTTTCATAAAATGGCATCTGGTTTAGAGCTTTGAAGCTCGCATGCTTTCCTCAACTTGAAACTTGTCGCCTCAAGAGGAGAGCAATGTCATCTGAGTGTTACAGGTGGTTTCAGAAAACAGAAACCAGAAAAGCATTTGTCTGCTGTGCTCCTGCGTCGGTCCAGGCCACTCTCACCGACCACAGCCTCAGTGGTTTTGTCGGCTCCACCTCTCCTCCATCCTGACAGGATGTATACATCGTCGTAGCTTTGATGCAACTTATTTGTTCCTGCTGCTTTGCTGCTTTAACGCTAACAACTCTGACATATACTTCAAAGTCAGGGTTATGTGAAGGGTTATGCTTTCACATAGCCCTAAAAGAGCAGTGAGAATCACTGGTACTGTTGATAGATAGTTGTACAAGCATAGTATGAGCTTCTTGAAACAGTTAAAAAACTTTCCTTTCTGTATCTGTGCTTTTAATTAAACTAACTCACCTTCTTCTCCCCATCAGGATCACACAGTAGGGAAATTGTTAGAGCCATTGGCTTGCAGAGAAATGCTGTGGGTTCAAATCCTGACCAGGGATCTTTCTCCAAGAAGTTTGGATAGCTGCCACTATGTAGAAAAAAAAAAACAGCCAAAGATTGATGGAGTTAATTTGACATTTTAGACTTGACTTTTTCCGAGAAATACTGATGTGGGTCTATACCTGTTGTCTCTGCAAAACTCAGGAAGTTTGGGTTTAGGTGAGAAAACTGTTTGCCTCTTAAGCTTTGTCTACACTTAGTCAAGAACTTTAGCAGATTTACCACAGCCTGTACAATCAAACCACAGAAGTCAAGAACAGAAGTTGGCCAAGAGTGTTGTTTCTTCACATCACATTTAACATCATTACACACACACACACACACACACACACACACACACACACACACACGCATACACAACCACACACACACACACACACAGCATATACTTATATATACTGCGTATAGAGAATCACTTTCACCATTTTCACCAACTAAGGGAGATCATTTGTGAAAAATTAGCACATTTTCCTAGTCCTCTATTTGTTTAGCAGTTGCACTAAGCTCTGCTAGTCAGAGGGATGTGTGAATTACTTTTTAGTGAAGGTTAGAGTTTGGAATAGATTCGTAATGATCAGGGCTAGGGGAAAATGTCTGGATTCCACATAAATGCAGTTACTCAAGTAAATGGAAGTCAATACAAAGTCCTCAGATGGATGAAAGTCCAAGGGGTGATGCCTGACAGGAGTTTCCATATTGTGGAGAAACAGGTTATTAGTTGTATGTGCCATCTGTTTGTGTCTGGGGTATTCCCTTTCTGAATGCACCTTTCTGGAAACCTTTGGCAAAGAACAACAGCATACTTGGCCATTGTTCCTATGCACTGTGACCAAGTCTACTCTGACCTTTTTATACTTTGCTTTCCTCCTTGGTAATCTCCGATGAAATCCACTTTGACTAACAGTGATGGATGCTGCCATCTGGCACTCATGTTCCCTGACTTTAGAGTTCTCCTCTCATTTCTTTGGAAATTGTTCTGGGCTCTTTAGTTACCATTTGAATCAGGCTTCTCTTTAATTTATCTTCAATTTTCCTCCTTCAGCCATAGAGGTTGGCCACAGTCCTCTGGACCTTAAACATCTCAGTTATATGGACAACTATTGACACAAGACATGCTTCTCTACAATGTTCTTCCTAATCTCTAGGATCAACTCTTTCCTTGGCTTCCTGTGGTCTGTGTTCAGTGTGGTCACCAAACAGCACAGTGACTACTTGTGCCCCATTAACTAGGCAGACTGTCCTATTTTCAAATTATTTTGAATTGATTCTAGAGGTATCCTCCCTTTTGTCCAGGCCTGCCATTAGTTTATTTTTTAAAATGAGTATATTTTCTTCACTGACCATTTTGAGCTTTTCAGTCATTAACTAATGGGCAGCAGCAATTTTGTTCACATGTATATATGTATAACTATATGTGCCTTACTAAGCATGACTCTGAAAACAAATACAGACACTTAAGCTTATTGCAATCATCTTTAGCCCAGCAGATCACACCTTTTAGTGTATAATGGTGTCCCTCCACTGCTGTGGTGAAGGTGGTATGACCTAAATAGCAGAAGTTTCCACTGACGGAAACTCAAACACAGGAAGCCCCACCTCAGCCCCCCAAAAGACTCCTGATTCACTTTTGATTTCACTGTCTATGCTTTGTACATAAAACCAAGTGATGAGGAATAATACTGAAGGTATGAAGCAGGGAGAAACATGGACACTTTTGATACATTGTCCAAATGCATGCTTCCATGTTTATTTCTGTTTTAGCATATCTGGTATTTCAACATGAACTACAACAACACAAGCTTGTTTAGAAAGCCACTGACAACTAATCTACACTGAATTCTAAAGTCAAAATGTCTATGTAAATCAGGGGTGTCAAACTCCAGTAATAAAATGAAATAAAATCAAAGCTTTTGATGAATACTATTCAGAAAAAGATAAACTGCTTCCCATTTGATAAGACTCAAATCTAAGAATTTTAGAGAGAATTCTTTAGAAGAAATTCGACATGACGAATTCTGACACTTGGTCTGTTGGAGAAGAGATTTGTAGAACCTGAGTTTCCGTATGACAGCAAATACGAGTTGTAAACAGTCACAGAAACGAAGGTCTTGCATTGAAAAGTTGATAAAAATGGACCAACATTTGTATGTAAACTGTGTCTGTGAATTATGTGTGCCAGAGCCAGACTAACTTTTCTATCTCTGAAAACTGAAATTAAAAAAAACTTTTTAAACCAACCACAAAGGTTAGTATTGGTCATTTGCTAAGTTATTCTTCCTGCTTTTGATATTTTTTTACTTTTAAGTTTTCAGATGCATTGCGACATTGACAAGAAGGCCCACCAGAAATAACATGTAAAATGTTTACTTTACACAAGCAAATTGGTACTGAGGTGAAAGTATGAGGTGAGCTAGATTTCAGAAACTGTCTATTCTGGTGGTGTTTTTTCACAACAGTCTCAAAGCCCCACTGTGT